ACTGGAAAAAACAATCAACTTATTATGCCAACAAAGGTAAAACAATAATATCTTTTTGTATTCCTATTGTTTCCCATTTCATGTATCTAACAACCGTTGATATTACAGACTACATTTGATACATCGCAAATTTCTGACCTAAAAAGTCAAAACAGTCATTCCCACTTATTTTAAAAAAATGACAATCTAAATAGTTTTTATTAGATTAATTTGTTTAATAATTATATAATTCCAATTCAGTTTCTTGATCCTGCGCTAAACGGCATGTAACTATATAGTTGTCGATAGAAGATAAATTATAGAAAATGGAATGGCTAAAATACAATCTGCAGGTATAATGTGGTTAACTTAATTAATTATATTTTGACAACTTGTGCTCCATTTGTTGTATTTTTTTTGTTGAAATAAAACGGACTTCGACAAATTAGGTCACATTTTAAAATATTTTACTATAAATAATAAGTAAAGCAATATTACAATCTTAACCATTTTTTCGTATAGCTACTCATTTTGGATTCAAGTGTTTTTGTTTTTCATAAAAATATATAAGATAATTATTATAATCAGACATAAAAAACGTCTCTGAAATATAAAATAAACATATTTAGAAATAACACAAGGTACACTCGTGATGTTATAATATTTTATAGTAAAAAATACATAAATATCCCATAACCACAACAGCTAATACACCAAAATATATAGAAGAATAGCTCCACTACAGCGACCCAGGTACTTATTTCTTATGATTTTCGAAAAGTGGCGTTAATTTTAAACTGGGCAACGAATCAGCTTTTAATACCAACTGTGTAGAAACAACAATATCTTTTTGTGTTCCCAGTGTTTCCAATTTCATGTGTCTAACAACCGTTGATAGTACCGTCTTCATTAGATACATTGCAAATTTTTGACCTGGAACAGTAATTAATTATGGTTTATAAAATGAATATACAAATTGGTTTTGTTAGTTTCATTTGTTGATTAATTATATCATACCAATACAGTTTCTCGAACCTGCGCTAAACGGTAGGTATCCATATGGGTGTCGATCGTTACACTGCTCTGGTAAAAATCTATCGGGATCAAATACTTCTGGGTTTGGATACATTGACTCGTCACGATGTAGTATATAAATCGAAAAGGCTATAATGCTATGTGCAGGTATTGAGTGGTTTTCTACAATATTAAAATGCTGATAATTTTTAGTCGAGTATAGAAATTAAGTTATTAAGCATACTAAGCTGTATTGGTTGATTCAGTCTCCTTGTAACACTAGGAACACTGGGGTAAAGTCTCATGGTTTCTTTTATTACTCTTTCCAATGTGAACATGGATTTAAGGTCTTCCATTGTAGCATCTCGATCACTGTCTCCAAATATTCCCTGAAGTTCTTCTCGGATGTCGGCCTATAAATGTCACCGGTTATATAAAACAGGTGATAAGAGTTTTTTTTTCGTTAGATATTATTTTTAATGTTAAAACTCATGATAGTTTGTATGAAATATTGAAAAAAAAAAAAGAAGAAAAGGAAGTGTACAATTTGACCATGATTCGAGAAAAGAGGTCCAGGGATTTTCAGAATGTGTGGTGGAGGATAGCGGAGGTGTATGAACAAGATCCCCTGTAATTGAGAGTGTAAGGCGAAGAAAAAGGAGAAGACAATAATTTTAAAGAACTGTGAAGCTTTATAAAAATGCATACAGTATCTAATTGTCATTAATTAATAAACTTAAAGATGGTATTATGGGATTAGGTAAAAATCGATTATATTATTTGGTAAAAATCTACTTAACAATAAATGTTGGAAGTTGGCATTATCCTAAATTCATAGTAGTAGTTTAGTTTTTTTATTTTACTATCAAAAATTAACTAATTTCATTGAATATTTTTTTTAATAGTATTTAATTTATTACTTCGAAAACTTTGGTTGGAAATGAAATATAATCAACAAAATTGATGATGTACATTGATGATTTACAATGGGTACGAACAACTATAGTGGGACGGATTATGGTGGGGTTGGGGCATAGTTATTGATGAAAAATGTTATTGGTATGCAGTGATTAAATTTTTGTAAGAAATACATCTATAATTCTTTTTCGGAAATCATAAACTACTCTTCATTAAACTAATGCCAGCGTCACTCCTCTTTTCTTCAATTAATTATATCACTGTCACCAGACATAGGTGACTTTATTTATTGTTACACCTATGTTTTAAAAAATACCATCAATAAAATCAATAAACAGAAGAGCAACTTACCGCATACAATATCTAATGCGCATAGAGTCACGTGCGAATGTAAGTCAATTTCATTGTTTTTCGATGCCTTGGCAAGGCTTTGCACTAAACCGTTTGCATGATGGTTAAAAGCTGGTATATATGATTCTAAAATTTTGAAGTGGAATGTATTAGTCAGTAGCTTTCTTCGCGTTTGCCATTTCTCGTCTAAAACATTACAATATTTAATAATAAAATATAGCGACCGCTTAATATTCAATGTAGACATTTAGGCGATAGATCTTACCAGTGCTGGTCAGAAGCCCTGTGCTCAACCAAGGTTCGAGTATACTGTATTCTGGTCCTTTGGTAATATGTTGAGTACTAGACAATAATATCTATAGCATAATACAGCATTTTTTCTTGTATTAAGAATGAAGATTGTTGTAATTAACGTATACCTTTATGTCATCGGGATCGTTGATAAGTACGTAGTCACGTATTATAGTATTCATATACACCAATGGTCCAACACTTTTAAGAACGCTGGAGAAATAGGGTAACGTATCTGAAATTTTCGGACAGTTGAGTAATTACATTTTCGACAACAGAATAATTCTTGATATTTATTGATTTATACTAGGGACGTGAATAAAAATAACTAATTGTATATTACTTTTCATGATTTTTACATTTGCCTGTGCCCCCAGAAACGTCGACTAAATTTGATAATTTCCACCGGTATTGGACATTAATTTAAATTGTATTCAATCTTGTTGAGTTATAATTGTATGATACGACTGTGAATTATGAAATAAGTAACTAATATAACTGTACTACTAAAGTTATTTTTATTATTATTCTTATTATTAATATGGATATTATCCAATTACAATGCTTCACACAATATGCGTAACAGAAAACATTAACTTATGATCTAACTAAAACTTACACAAATAACAACTACAATTATAATAATTAGAGTAATAATACACGGATACAGGATATTGTTAAAAAAAGTGGGGGTGCTCATTGCCAAGAAACATCATGCTATCAATTGGGTGGTTTCTATTTTCTACCGTAATTAGTGCTCTGAGCAGGGATAATAAAAAGAGCAGATGACCTAGTGGGATAGGAAGGAATATTAAAGTTGACTTGTGAAAGTAAAGAGGGAGCATCAATACGCCCATCAATCAATTTACGCAGAAATGATAAGCTGGCCTCAACTCTCCTATTTACTAATGGGACAAGACCAAGCTTGTTTGCAACTGGTTGGTAGTCGTGTGGCTAGTGTTCAATATTTATAATAAACGAAGCACAGTTTAAAAATCGCCTTTGGACACGTTCTATAAGGTAAGAATCAACTGCAGTAAAAGGGTCCAGAAGACTGATGCATACTCTAGACGTGACCTAACGAGAGTACAGTAAATAGCCTTCAGTGAATGGGACAATTTGAACTCTTTAGACATGCGTATAACGTGACCCAGTGTTTTTAGAGCTTTACAACACATTGCTTCGATATGAGCGTGGAAATCTAGCTCGGGGGTAAATAAGACACCTAGGTCTTTTATGCTATTTACCGGCTCTAGGCTAATGCTGTTGATGGCATAGGTAAAGAAAATAGCAGACCGACACCTCATAAAGGACATTGAGTGGCACTTTTCACAGTTAAACTGCAATCCAATTGAGTTGAACCAAGTAACCAAAGCATTAAGTTCACTTTGTAGCGACTGACAGTCAGCTATTGAATTAACTCTATCAAAGACTTTCAAGTCATCGGCAAACAAGTTATTATGAAACTATTATTAAATACAATATAATAGTAAATGATTTTTAATATTAAAAAGTAATATTTATTTCCTGACTGTTTAAGACAATGATTCACAATTCAAGTAAGGAGGATAAGAAGATTACCAATTTTTTCATCCATAGTTTTTGTTAATAGTTTCTGTCTGAGTATGTTATACAATTTATTTTCGAAGGAATATTTAAAAAAAGTTTTATGTTTAAAATATATTTTAATGGCCAGGGACATAAAGCCATTGAACAATATTTGGTCTATGCTATATCAGAACAAATCATTTTTTTATTAGGCATCTACTAATAACTGAAAAATTCTAAATATATAACAAAAATAATACCTAGAGGTCTCAAACTAGCTACTTGCCATATACAATTGATAGTTTCCAAGTAGGTTTTTGTTAAACTCGGTAGTAGAGATATTTGTTTTCTACGTTCGATCGCACGTTCATCATAATATATTTTGTAGAGTCTGCAAGTTAGTAATGTGATAAGCAATAACCATATTATTATAGAAATGTTCGAAACTGAAGCCAAAGCTCCAGAGAATATGCTCAGCCAGTTCATTGCGAGAAAACTATGAATCAAAGAACTGTTAACGATGGTATGGAATCACACACTGTTGCATTCACAATATACGTTTGTACAAAAATGAATGTTAAACTCAATGTCAAAGAAAATCCAATTTTTTTGAACTGCAATATTTAATTATAATTGTAAATTATTTAAGTTTATTACTATTATACGTAATTTTCATAAATTATCATAATACACATAAATTAAAGAAGTGATCAAATATATACAAAACTACAACTATGGGGGTTGTATGTGAACCTTACAAAAGCTAATGACCATTGTAGTCGATATTTTATTAGTTAAATAAAAACAATATGCATAAATAATTATGAATAAATTTAAATTAATATTTATTTTCGTGCATCAATTCAAATTGTTTTCTCCACCTTCGTGCACACAGAAGGTGGAGAAAACCCATGGAAAATAGGTTCAAGGCGTATTATCTAAAATATATCTGCAATTTGGTAGATTGTAAATTAAATTACCTATTAATTATAAACACTGTCTTTGTATTAACGGTTTCGTGATTTTTAGTTCGCCAAATTTAATAACTAAATCATTTATATATGAATTACGGTATTATGCTTTAGAAACACAACATGAAACAAATAATATAACACCAAAAATTGTTATCAAAACAATGGAAAAATAAATATATATATATATATATATTTTTTTTTTAAAGCCTAAAACGAAATGTCTTGCACTAGTGTATAACACAATAATATTATTGTTTCCGTGTAATTTTTCGGCTGTCGATAGACCGGAATTAGCTTTGTTCCGAAATGTGTGAACACCAGTGTTATTATCTAAGCAATATTTCTATTGGCCTTAGCAATACTACATACAAGGCCATTCACTTACTATAAGCGTCAGCTGGTTAATACATTTCAGAAGACATAATAAGACTTTTTGAATACTCTTACAATTGGCCCATTTTTTTTTTTATTAAAATCAATTTGCTCAGAATTTATAAAATAGATAATTAATAAAATTAAATAAAAAGTATTTGATATTTACTCTAACAGCTGTTGTTATAGATGAAAATTTAAGTAGGGAGAAATAGGTAAAGTGTCCTAAACAGGTAATCGACCAGTGGCCATTTTAATACTAGACGAATTAAATTTAATTACCAAATAAATATTATTACCTAATTTAAATAAAAATTAATTGCTTTTATTATTATCTACTGTTTATTACTATGATCTACAGGATATGTGAGGACCTGATGGTTCTAAAGTATCTTTTTTGAATGGTTTTGTCCTCTACAGTGCTAAATGATTTGACCAATGATTTTCAAAAAGTGGTATTATTTA